AAAATTAAGAGACTTTGTTGTATTTTAATTTTGTGTTTGTAAATTCTGTACATTTAATTAAGTTATTGTTAATTATCTATTTGTTTAATTGTAAGTGGCTATGTTCGGGATGACCAATACTAATGAAAAAGCAGTGTTACGACAGCGGAGGTCACATGACACCGCTAGCGCAAGCGTGACCGAGTTTCTCGAATTATCAGGGAAACTCGAGTGTGACTGAGATGCCTCTTTGTTAGTATATAAGCCTGGCAGAGAAAGCCAGTGGATATATAGATTGTGAATCGCTGTGATTTATAACGGGTATTATAAAAGTTGTAATTCCACTGACTGTGGAATTACTGTGTACTAAAAGTTTGTATTGAGAAAGAATAAACTGGTTTAATCAAGAAGGGACTTGTATTGCTGAAGTTCCTCAGAAAGAATTTATACCGGAAATTATCAAACAAGCAGATACGTAACAGTATTTTATTTACAAGTTTTAGTGTACTATATATATTATTTTTCTTTTACTTTAGTCCATTTCAATGCTAGGGAACAGAGTAGTGAAAAAGAAAGTCAGTACTATCTTACTAGCTTTTGCAATACTCTTTTCTAATGGAATAGTGGAATTGGACCATCATTCATAGATTACTCATAATTCCAAAATGCAAGCATGTTTTTTTTGGTAATGAGACATAAATCATGAACTCTCTGTTTTGAGGAGCATTTCATGTACTATTAAAAATCCCTTTCTTAAGACTACATGGACTTGTGACGTTTGCACATTTATAATGAATATTTTTGCATATGCACTGTTTTGATGATGTTTTTTTTCTGTCAATGCAATTGTTAAATCCAAGTTCTGATGTTATCAGACCTTTCACACACACATATATATGCTGAGTCTATTTAGACAACACTTAAATAAAAATTCAGAAAGAAATCACTAAAACGATAGTAATATATCTTTTTCTATATTTCTGGTAATGAACTCGACTCATCCATCATTTCTCTTTTACATTCTGCACATTATTTAACCATTATAAAACCACCTTAATGCCCTCCACTCTGAAACCAAGTGTTGTTGTTGAACTGATCGTTTCTCGCCAGACCATGTAACGAGGTTTTGTGATTGCCTTCAGTCTTTGCTCTTCTTCTGATGGTTCTGTCGGATCAATGTGTACCATCTTTTCATACATATCCTAAATAAACAAAGTTCTGAAAATTAGAAAGTCCATATTTTGTTTTTTTAAAGGCATAATGTATCTGAAATAACTTCAAGTAAGTTCCTAAGAAGCTTAAGAACCAGTTTTATAACTGTATTTTTTTACTGAAAAATGTGATATGAAATGAGTTTTGCACCTCGTAGACAAGAGTTGAAACATCATTACATTTCAAACATATATACATAAAATTTCTGTATGATTAAAAGATTCTATACCTAGAAACACTAACACAAAGTGCTAAACTGTATCAATATTATGCAAGAATAATCAAAACATAATAAACACATGCACACTACATTTATATATACATATTATAAGTTTTAGTGACTTAGGAGTGTTATCTTAACAGGATAAATAACTTTCTAAATAGTTCAAAATGACTGGTACAATCAATTATCAAACAATGATCAGAAGTTGCGAATCACAAATAATGCTATAATAAATATAAATAAAATTACTCTCAAACTACTCTAATAAACTCTGTCTCATACCTTCCTTAATTTGGGCTCTGCTTTTGCCTTTGCAAGTTCGTCCTCTAAATATGTGCGAAGTCCAATTTTAACATCCATAACACAAGCTTTTTCAAATCCAGCCAGGAGATCTTGCAGCTCCAAAAAAACTATGATCAGATTTAAGATAGATTCATTTTCTCAACTTCTGTTTTTACTATTCCAACAGTACTAATACACTTTTGTTAACAGTTTCCATTACTAATTAAAAAATATTTATTGGGAAGATTTATTATATCACCATAAACAAGTGTTATAAAAACATACAATAATGTATAAGAACTTTGCAGCTAAACAAGAACAATAAACAAATAATGGCAAATACTTGAAAAGTAAATAAATCTAATAGGGCCAAGTATTTATACAAAAAATCTCATTTCTTTTATAAATTGCTTCTCTTAACAAATTCAGGTTCAAAAATGTTTACCATTAATTATATCCTTGGAAACTTCTTACTTATAGAGTACTGGTTCATAAACCTCCTAAAACAACCTTTCTGTAGACTACAAGCTTTTCATACTATTACAAAAATACTATTCCACAAAATAATACTGAAGTCTAATCTTCTGGTGTTTTGGTGTATACAAATAAACTCTAATAATGTACATGATGTTCTTTATTGGAATATAAATTTCTCTGTCTACAGTATGTGTGTAATTTTAATTTATATCAATAAGAACTAAAATAAAAATCAATATTTATGGTGTATAAACTCTTCTTCTTCAAAAAACCCTGAGGGACTGAACTAAAAATGTAGTGTTAAAAAATAGAATAAGCTTAATACTCATGTCTTATGATGAGCATAATTAATAATAACGACCAATATTATTGGCTTGAATCTTTTTATATTTCATTAATCAGGGATCTGATTGTCTTGCTATTCATATTAAGCCATAAAAAGTTTAACTACTACAGAAGGTTATATTATATCAAAATGATTTGAATATGCAAATCAGCAAGTCAAGTGACAACCACAGCCAATACAGAATCATGGTAGAATGACATATAATAGGACTACATTCTGATGTTCTATGGAATTCTGCCATTAAAAACTGGTTGTTTTGGGGAAAGGTATGTAATAGCTCTTTCCAATGCAAAATATTCATACATTCAGCTTATAACAATATATGCAGAGCAGGGATTTAGAATTTCCATGATGGGAGATATCCCTTGTAAGTAACAACATGGAGTGCCAGGATTATCCAGAAAGATACCTGCAACATACTCCAGGTATGGTAAATAAAGTTCAGGATCTCGTAACACATGAAAATTCACAAACACAAAAGTCAGTGGAAAAGGCCATCCACATGCCTCATGTAACAGTAAGTAACATAATTAAGAAAGATCACTGCCTGGAAATGTGACACAAGTCATATGCACACAAGTTGCTTATAAGACATATCCATTCAACCGTCGCATACATCAAGCAGCTGGAAAAAAGAAATGGGTATTCATGCTATTCCATAAAGAGTCATGGTGATCCAGTTAGTGAAACAAACACATATGAATTTCTATGTGATCAGAAACCAGAAACGGGAGGTAGGAAATTGTTGTCTTCATATATTTTAAGAATTGTGAAAAGACAGCATGGAGTAAAGGTGTGCTTTTGATATGACAGCCTTACAAGCCTTTTGCAATGAATATAACACCGCACAGCTAATATCAACATGCATGGTCATCAGACAGAGAATCACCAGATGTAAGGACATGGACTGGAAGGATATGATAGTGGCTCCAAAATTGTTTTTTTTTATATAACATATTCAACTTCTGTATATATTATTCTATCCCACAAAACCATGCTTTCACACAAAAACAAATCAAACAGGATATTTATATCATACACTGCTGACAACACTGCCATTAATTTTGTATAACAGAAAATTGGATCTCACTAAGCCTTTAGGAGAAGCTTAAGCAAAATGATAGACTCTAAAAGACTTTTATTCTAAGTTTATGATTTAAATTTTTTATAATAAAGTTTAATTCTACTTTTAATTAATAAAGAACCAAAGAATTTTTCACATGAAACTAATCGTAAAGAAAACTGAAGTCTTCAAAAGTGCATATAAAGGAGGCTGATATTTTAACAAAATTGATGCATTACTTTCTCCTTCATCAGTCACTACTCTTCCCTTAAATTCTGGTACAAAAGGCTTAAGACTATCATTCATCAGTTTCTTCAAACAAGCCTCCTCTTTTCCACACAGTTTCTTTAAAATTGATCCTTGGTCTCCAACCTTGAAATTACCTAGAAATCAGAAATCCATAAGAAATTTCAAGCATAACTATAGCTATTTTAAACAAGTTTTCTATAAAAATGTTATGAGAAATTTATCCACTGAATCATATTAAAAATTAAAACTAATAATATTAACAATTTTGACTACACTTAATAAAACTAACTTTGACAGTAAAATACATTCAGCAATGCAGTTATGAATCTAATGTGGAATAATTAACAATGAAGATCTAAAGCTAATGCACTATAACCAGCAATACAGCTATAAAAGTAATGTACAGTAATCAACGGAAAAGTTCCAAAACTAATCTAGAATAACCTACAATGACTTTCTAAATGTTGAAGTAATATAATTAGCAATGCAGTTCTAAAGATGATGCAAGATAATATGGTTGAATATAATTACAGAAACAGTTCAATAAACTACCTTTGAGCCCTGCTTTGTTCACAAAGCAGTGCTTATCACATTCAATAAAATACAATGGTATAAAAAAAGTCTTCTAGTAGTGTATTTATATATATTAAACAATTACTACCAATGGGCTTATCAACTAAACCTACACAATATGGCCTATGCTGTATATAAAATTGTATTGATGCATTACATTTATGAAATGCAGTTTAAGCAAAAAAATATTAATGAAAATTTATGAGTTAAACAGAAGTAATTCATACACCAAGTAATTAGAACTGGATTACTATTTTAACATTACTTTAAATATTGAAAGTTTGCAGTAATAATAAAATGGTGTTGATATGACACAATATTATTGGAAGTATTTTTCAAATGCCCATTTTTTTAACTATCCTATTAATTTCTAATAAGTTAATATGCAAAAGAATTTCTAATAATTTTTTTTTGTTTCAGGCTACTATGAATTATAAATATTATCATTAGATATCAGAGATCACTAGACCTACTAGATCAAAATACATAATATACAGTTGAATTTCTTTTATATTAGACATTATGAGACATGAAGTAGTGTTGTATAATGCTGAATTCTGAATTATACAGTGTAAAAATATGTTTATTGTTTAGTAGTGTGATTTTTTTTTAAATCCTACAGTTTCTGACTGTATAAACTAATATATCTAACAAATAAATAAAATAAACATCACATATAAGTGCATGGAATTAATCTCTCATTGAAACATGGTTCTTAAAGCATGACATATCACATATGTATTTATCTAATAGATAAGACTGACAAAAACAAATATAATAAGAACTTAAAAACACTTTTAAATAACAAAAATACTATAGCTTCTCATGATATTATACAAGCAACTGAAAAATGTTGATATATTTCTTTACTAAAGAATTTTAAACTGGTAATAATGCAACAATATTAATAATATTAGCCACTTGTTTATCATATCATAACCAACAAACCATAAATCAACATTTCTAGTCAACTTAACAACCTTTTAGGATCCATCAACATAGGATTACCAGATTTCCAGAGTGCCACTTTTTAACAGTTTAAATTACAATAACACAATTTTTACTATTTATTCAATCATGTTTTGAAACTATAGCAAAAATTTATTAAAAGCTTATATAGTTAAAATAATAACAAGTAAAATAGAAAATAAACTCTTCACTGGAGTTTTATGTGTACAATTTGTTATCCTATTTGATAATACATAAAAGTATTAAATTATCCCAGAGAACTGATTGGTACAAAGTAATATAAGGCTAATAACTAGGATGATCCCAGTTTTACTGGGATGTGTGGTAACCCTACTTGAACATTTAGACAAAAAAAATGAATTAGCACTTGACAAAATGTTAATTTATCTTGATAATCAAGCAAGTTAAATCTAATAATATATTTAAGTCCCTAAAAATCTGAATCTATAGCTTAAATGAAATGAAAACTTGCACCAATACCTAAGCCTAACCAATCAGGCTAAATATACTTTGTTTACTGAACACCTGTAAATATGTTTTAAAACTGTTAGTCCAAAAACTTCTACAAACCTTGATGACCAGCTAGTTGAACCCAAGGATATTTTTGCTTTCTGTATGTTTGAAGAAATGGGCACAAATGTACGATATTTCTGACTTTCTTCCACCCTGACAGCTAATCATAATAAATAAACCATTATCAGCTCAATTTACAAAAGTAACAACAGTTCCTTTCAATACTATTCATATTTTGTAAATTTATTTCAAGATATATCAGCACAATAGTAATGAGTTACATCCTCTGTTAATTATCTGCCTATTAAGTTGGCTATAGAAATTTATTTTCTTCATCATCAACCCAAACAATTCAAGAGTTAACTGCATACCATACTTAACATATCTCTGTAAAATCAATTTTACACATAAAAAAAAACATGCGGAAAGTGACTTACTCTTTTAGCTTTCTATGTACAAAATGATAAAAAGCTAACAGTTCTAACATTTAAATTAACAATCTTTTATGCCCTAAAGTATTGTCTAAGCCTTGGATCCTTAGATATTATAGTCTTAAATTATTACTTGTCCAGTTGCTGAACATAAATATTTGTGAGTTTATAATCCCATTTCACTTCTTAAAACATTCAGAAAGATCAATCCTATCTTTATCCATACTATTCTACAATATTCTCCAATTATTATACAAAAACTAAAGGAATTAAAAACAAATTGGCTCTGAAATAACCAAAACTGCTTCATCCACAATTATTTTATAATTTTCTTTTCTGATGCAGATTTTGAAGTAACATATATATCACAATTAATACCAAAAACAGAATCAAGGATAAATTATCCTTGTGTGAGAAAATTCAGAAGTTATTCATTTGAGGAATCATTGAAAATGTTTTTAGATGGTTCCTTGCATTAGTTTTGATGTTCCTTTTGGGGTTACTGAGCATTAAAAAGGTAAGTGTTGAGTCATAATCATGACTTTGAAAAAGTTCTTAATTGTTAAATCACTTCAATATGCTTGTACTTTGAGCTTTAACATTATAACTTACAATTAACTCAGTTTCAGATTACATTCTAGATAAATAACTCTGATGTGAAGTTGACATCCTATTTTATTATATTCTTGGATAACTTTAATATTAAAAAAGTGTATGTGTATATTCTTTCTATACTTAACAATTGTTGTTGTTTGTTGAATTTTGGAAAAGCTGCCCGAGGGCTATCTGTATTGGCCATCACAAATTTTGATGTAGTAAACTAGAGGGTCAGCAGCTAGTCAACACCACCCACCACCAACTTGTGAGCTACTCTAATTGAATAGTGGGATGTGACTGTCACCCTTTTAAGATACTCACAACCCAAAAGTGCAGAGTGACATTTTTTCTATTTTTTTGCTAGTAAAGGAACATGAATTACAGAACCTAAGTCCAACATGCTAAAGATTGGGCTGCACCAGGCTCCTATAGTTAACAGAAACTTTGGAATTTTACTATTGATTAATTTTATATCTAACAAATACACAGGTATTTCTTGTGGCAAGGTTTGTGGCTTTACCTTTTATGACTTTTAAGTATAATTAAAGAAAAAGCTGAAGAAAACAAAAAGGCTAATTAACAGTAAATACTTCAACTTTGACTCTACCAGTGCTTGAACTGAAGGGGAACAGGGTTCCCACTGTTAAAATAAATATCAATTTGTCCCCTTTCTTTACAAAATTATGCAAATTGGGAATGTTTCGAGAGTGAGTCTTCACCAACTGACTTAGCCTCAATGAAGGTATGTGTGTACAGTTACTTGCACTACAGATGTTATTTGTTTTCTTAGTGCAAAGCCATTTTAACGTGTGCACATCATCTAACCACGCACGCAAACACCAAATTTCAACATGTCGGAAATATAATGGTTGGAGATTACAAAACCTTGTCGAAACGTTGTACATTTGCTGTTATGTTAAACTTATATTAAAGTTTTTCTTCATTACCCATTCAAGCCATCTCCAACCATTATTCATTTGTTACTGTTATTTCTACAAAGTTTTCTACAATTGTTACTGAATTTTTTATAAAATATAATAAAACGTTAGTTATTTAATTTTGGTACACATTTCTCTTAGAATCAGTAAACTGAGTGCTTGAAAATGACAGTTTGGTTCTGAAAAGTCTTGGAAGTGGTTTTCCTCTAGCTTGCACGAACCATGGTTTTGAACTCGTAATCCGTGGAATTGTGGTAAAGCCGCCTTATTTCAGCATCAAATGACCTTTCAAGGTTACTGTATTAAATGCAAAAATATCAAATTTTTTGACGAAACCAATATATAGTTAATCCCCCAAGAATGGTGATTATTATCAACTGCAACACATGCTTCAACATTAAAGACATTTGTTCAAGAAATGGATTTTTACTATATCCATTCAGTGGTTATAACATGGTGTATTAGCCTTCAATCATTTTAGTTGTATGTTTATCTGGGGTAAAGGTGTGGGTCTCCATAAGGATTGTTTGTATCTCTACTACGAATTTTATTCACTATGACATGCATGATAGCCTGGCTTGTATACAAAAATACCCTTTTTATTATATATATATATATATATATATATAACTTAAAAGGGTTTTGATACCTGTGTGGTCACAAAACAGATATCCCATTGTGAGACTTCGTGTTTAACAAACAAAGTTTATTTAATGCAATGTTTAGTAATAAGTTACCCATGGTAATTGAAGTATATAGACCAAATTCGTGTAATTGAATATTCTTTATGATTCAATTCCTGCACAACAAAGTTTTTAAATTGACATCTGTGAGCTAGAAGTTGCTGATACTGAATAGTACTTAGAAGTTACATCACGTACAAGTTATTTGTCAAATGTACACTTGGGAAGTACGGAGTTATAACTTATAGTTCAACTTATGCAGTTATCAGTTGTACATTTAACAATTCTTCAGTGAATCTGAGTATTTGTTATTAGAAAACATTGTTTTTTACATGAATTTCATTTTAGTATATCAAGCATTTTATCTTACACCCGTGAAGAAAAAATTAAAAACAACCAAACTCAAACACTGAAAAAAAAGTATGCCAAACCCTTTGATTTAAGAATGGATTCAGATTAATAGTCATGTGACTCACGGTTGCTTAATTGCATTTTGTCCACAGCCATACTTGTTTTAGTAAAGGTGTCAGTTGAAAGTGCAAGTGTCTCAGTCTGCTTGTAGTGATCTGTACTGGATGGATTTCTCAGTTGTATTGGTGTGTGTGTGTGCTTTTATTCTTGTTGACACTGCTGCCTGGTGGTTGATACAACATACTCTGTAATGCAGCAAGGACTACACGGTCTGAGGGTAGTCCTTCAGGTTTGATGGGTACTGTCTCGCTGATGCCCTAAAATGGCTATAAAATGAGTTTTATGAAGGCTTTTTAGATCCCCTAACAATTCTGTCATGATGCCCATGGTTTTGAGCCACCTGCTTGTTCTTTTATTCTTACCAAGAAATAAATACTTTTATATTCAAATTCTTTTATTTGTTATGGCATTGTCTGTGCAAACAGCTGCTGTTCGTATACACACAGAAAAGCTCGTGTATAACTTCATGTGACCCTTTTGGCTGCTATGACTCCGATCCTTTAATTTTAATTGGTCTTTTTTTAACTATATTGTTGTATATAGACATTAAATATTTGTAACAGAGAAACTAATTCAATGTTGTAATGTTTAAATTACAAAACTGGATATTAATTATTAGCAAATTCAGAATACAGTGTTGCTTCTAGGATACATACTTTGTATATTTTGATTGCCACTGGTGCAAAATAATAGTTTGTCTGCGTATTAGATCACACAAAAAAAATATAGAAGTATGCATTTTAATTTTTCATGTGTGCCCGACCTTCGAAATGTATTATGAATGACTTTGTAACGACAGATCGTGATTGTAACCGGAACATTCCGCACATTAATTAGCTCATTTAGATATGTAATGGAATGTTATTGGCTGCATTATAACATCATCTGGTTTTGTGGAAGATTTCCTTGATATTATGGGAAACTGATGATTGCAAATGGCAGAAAAAACGAAAGGTATGAAGACGTTCAAGAAGCAGTTAATTTTCAAAAAAAAAATTACTACATTTTTCTATCAAAATGATGGGAAAAAATTGAAATAAATATAGGAAAAAGGCTATGAAGAAGATGACTGTAAAGTAAGTTTTATCGGTGAATGCGTAGATGTTTCGATGAAAGTGGATTAATCGATCAGATTCAGCTTACATTTTACCATATTTTCTGTAGAAAAATGAAAAATTGCAATGATTCAATTTACTGTTTCTTCAAATAAAAAGTTACTTGATCACTTTATGCTTTTAGGACTCGCGAAGTTGATATCTACTTCATTACATGAATGGCTCACTTTCTGAAAGTCAGTGGGGGATTTGCCCCACTTAGAAAAATCCTAGAAGCAACACTGGAATAACAAGAATAGCTACAACAAATTTGATCATGACATAAATTGCATTTGACAAACTACTTTCTGCATGACACAAGGCTTCAAAGGTTGCTGTATTGATCGGAGGTTGTTATAAGTTCAGTGGCATGCGGTGTCTGTTGAGTCCGTGAAACTGTTTCGTTTATGGAAAAACAGTACAATTCTTTCAATACAAATTAACCTTTATTGTCTAATTTTGTAAACAAAGAATCAAGAAACGACATCAGCCCACTGACAGCTCCTGTTGACTCTTTGTTGAAGGCTGTTTATTTTTCAAACTTTAAGGACTGTGAGGAGTGAAGACTGCTTAAGTATTCACATATAGTTATCAGTAAAGCTTGCATGAGAACTTTCAAAGTCCATATAGTCTTCTTGCAATGAATCATAGCTACTCACAATTGTGTAAGCTCAACCAAGCAGAATTTTTACCGAATTAATTTTAAAAGCCAATAGGTACAAAGATGTCAAAATGTGCATGTAATGGAAACATTGTTCATTTATAATAAACACTCGTTTTAAAACCACTTTGTTCATTATGTGTTAAGGTGTATACAAATGATAATTTGAATTTTAGTTCTTGATTAAAAGTGAATTTATCTGCATCTTCTTGTAACTGAAAAATAAATGTATCATCCAGGCACCTTTCATAATAGAGTGATTTAAAAAAAAACAGGACAGTCTGC